TTTTTACAGGGTTTTTTTAAAAATTTCTGAACCATTTGAAAGGTTACACAAATATGGGATTCCCCAGCCCTAAAAATAGACGTTTTTCTACATATCTACAAAACCATTATCGCATCTTTAAGTGCGATGAATCTTTAATTCAATATCACTTAACATACAGTTCATATTTACATTTCCCCAGTTGTCCTAGTTGGAGCATTTTACACTTCAAACCGGGATCCGCTCAGGGTTCCGAATGCGGCGGCATTTGGTAATTTCCCTTCAGTCTTAATCCAGAAAACACCAGCCTTTTCAAAAAAATGACACATTTTTTTAAGAATCCAGGCAAATTGTCTTGAAAATACTCCGTTTTCTGAATTCGTCTGTTTCTTCAACTTGATTTAGGTTCAATATTTTGCTGGCCACCAGAAGGCACAAATGGTTGTCCCAGTATTGATGATGCTATATTTGAGCTCAGAGCCTGGAGCCTGCTTCAGATTCTGTGTCTCTCTCTGTCCCTTCCCTGCTTGAACTCTGTCTCTCTGTCTCTCAAAAATAAACATTAAAAATAGTTTATAAAAAAATTACTTGAATCATTTTTTTCTCTATGGATTTGTTTCTGTTTGTATTCAACTTTATGATTTGCTTTTATTATCCATTTTATATAATTTAATTTTTAAAATAAGTAAATTTTGACATGGTTCAAAGTGTATGTAACTGTAAAAACTATGTAACTGTACTGTAAAAACTATGTAACTATGTAAGTATGTAACTATGTAAAAAGCTATTTCCATTGAAGTCTTGCTCCCAGGCCTATGCTCTCTACCCCATTCCCAGCCACTCTCTTTAAGTAACCATTCATTAATTTCTGGTTTATCCTTCCTGTGTTTATTTTTTTATTGAGGCATAATTGACATATTCTATTAGTTTCAGGTGTACAATATAATGATTTGGTATTTGTACTTCCTGCATTTCTTTTTTGCAAAAATAAGCAAATGAGTACACATGTTATTTCTGCTTTTTCATTACACAAAAGGTAGCATACTATATATACTCTTTCACCTTGCTTTTTCGCTTAATTTAGCCTGGAAATCACAGTGTACCACTTAATAGCACTCTTCCTCATTCACTTTTATGGCTGCTTAGTACTTCACTGCATGGACGTCCCTTGGAATGTGAACAGTAGTTACATTTCTAGGCCAGATGACAAAGATCTGCCAAAACCTGCATAGTAGCTGAGATGCTGCACTTTGGTAGTGAAAAGTTAGGAGAATACTTTTGCTATCCTAATGGTTAAGGCAAAAAAGCAGAATGGAATATGTTTTTAAATGTACTTTATACTGCTTGGATGCTTGTGCTTAAGGAAAAGCAGATTCAGCAAGAGGTAGATGGAGGATTATAGAATGGGGAAAGAGGCTTCAGATACTATAAATATTAAAGATGCTATTCTTGACTTAAAATGTGGTTTTGCATAAGTTTACCCAGCAATTCCCAGCACTCGTAGGTATATACACAAGAGAACTGAAAACATGTCCATACAAACCCTTGTGCACAAAGGTTCACAGTAGCACTATGCATAGTAGCCAAAAGGTAGAAACAATCCAAATTTCCCTCAAGTATGAGTAGATAAAATATGGTATATCCATACAATGGAATATTATTCAGCAATAAAAAGAAATGGAGTACGCATGTGTGCTGCAAAATGGATGA